CTACACACACACACACACATATATATATATATATATATATATATATATATATTGATTACACTGTAATGTGCTACACTAAACTATTACAAACAAGACAAATTATTTCTTCTACTATTATAGTTATTTACATATGTATTTTATTGACATTATGAGACAAAGAAATTGTTGAACAGTAAATCACAAAGTTAAATGACAAGCAATTTAAAATTCTTGGTGCTTGTGTAAATGCTCAATGTTAAAAACTCAATTTTCAATAAACAACAGTTTATTGTAATAGACTTGTGTACAATACATCACTGTTTACTGAAAATTGAGTTTTAACATTGACAAGCATTTTGTTAGATCATGAGGTACCTGTACACAATTAACTGATAGATTATGCTCCTACCAATAACATATTTAAATTCCTCATGCAGAGAGCAAAACTGCATATGATGCTCTATTAGTATTGCTATTAGTACTATTACTGGTAATACTATTAGCAGATTACATGTAATTATAACTTAGGTGTGGATTTAGCAAAACTTAACAATAACAGTCTAATTATGGTAACGTTAAATTACATAAACTGACTAGCAAAATTATAATCATAATTATAATACTCTGCATACAATGATATACTGATAACCATAGTAACTTAAGCCAACAAGTTATCTACGTTAATAAAAGTTGAAATTAAATTATTAAAATTTAAAGTTACACAAGTATACAAACAACTTTAAAATCAACATTTTAAGAACAATGTTTACGTTATGAATCACAACAGTATAATGTAATCTTGATGAAAAATCTTAACCTCTCAGAAATAACCACTTAAAATTACATTATTTGTTTTTAAAATATCACCATCTAGCAGGCCATCACAATGCTCAACTTCATGAATAAATAGGTTTAACGTCTACACTACGCATGAGCAAAATAAATCTAACATCAGGCTAATGATTAAACCAGCGGATTTATCTCATAAGGATGGAAACACTTGAGTCTCATAGCGCCACTGCAAAATAGACAAAACAATAGTCAGATTGTAAAACATTGCTCTAAGGCATATTGTGTCTGACTAACAACTATAAAAATTGTTAGACAATGAAAATTGTTTGGTATTAAATTACGCCAAAATTAAATCAAAATATTTAAATCTACTTTCTTTTTTATATTTATGATGACGCAAAATGTCTAAGTAACTTTTTTGGAAGCTCATTCATTCTTAATATTGTTATGTCTCTATGTTCGTTTGTTAATTTTCCGTAAAAATTCTTCCCGAGGAACTTCAGCGATACAAGTCCTTTCTTAAATAAAACTATGTTATTCTTTCTCAATTCAACTTTGCAATACACTTTAATTTCCGCAGTCACTTTAAACACACGCTATAATTCACAATGATTTACGCACTTACTTACGGTCACTACCGCGCTTGACTCAATTGTTCGTCTCTATCTCTGCCTGTCTGCTGTTCAGTTGTTGCCGTCACTTTTTACCGGTCTTATATATACAAAAAGCATACATCTGGAGAACACTCAAGGCTTCACGAATGGACATGAACTTTCTAGAAGCTCATGATGTGTTACTAGCGTCACGAGACTTCCACTATCGTAACACTGCCCCTTTCCTAGTATTGTTCGTCCCGAACAATAGCCACTTACATTAAACCAATAAACAATAACTTAATTA